TGGTTATTTTGGAATTAGTGTACCCACAATCCTTTAACTGGCTATTAATTTTAACATTTTGGTAAATAGGGCAAAACTCTAATGCACCAGCATTTACATAATGGCTTCTTTGGTACAGTGCCTGTTGAAATTATGTACTGAGCATGTTATGTGTTACCCCCCCCCCCAACACACACACACACAAGAGCAAGTAAGAAATCAGGAGGCTCTACAAAATAGCTTAGAAAAACAAGTTTTCTATTTATTTTAAAAATAAGTTTGTAGTTACTACATTGCAGGGACAGGAATTCTTACACATACATTCTAGTTTGTATAAAAGGATTCAAAGAATTATGCATCAAAACTAACATAGAAAGTGTCCACATAACAGTAAAGAAAGGTCCAATCAATATGTACAAAAAGAAAGGGCACTGCTATTCTGGTGTGAGACTGCCGTTTAGAACATGATACTTCCAGGTTTCTGGAAGGAAAAAAACAAAAACCTCAATAAAGCTAAATAATTTGTCTTTAAACTCTGTTACTTATTACATACAACAGATTTGCTTGTGTTTAACATTGTTTTCTGTACAAAATAAGTATAATTTTAATTTGAAAATGTGTCAGTTTCAACTTTAACCCTCTAGGTCAGTTACTTTTAAAAAATTGAGCTACATTCTACACGTCTAAATATCGTGTGACAGGATTTAACAGTTTTCTAAAAGATCTTTAATAAGACCTCATCTTCTTGCAGTTTTAATATGGTCCAAAAATGTAACTTTGTATTTTGCCTCAATTTATAGTTTATCATTGTGATTAATCAACACACACAATCTTAAAAGTCATGAGCATGTGTGTGCCTCTGTATCCTATCGTGTACTATATATCATCTCAAACCTATTCTCTTAGCTCCTTAAATGTAGAAACTCATAGCCACCCACTATTACGTATTTGGTTTGTGCCATATAAAGGTTAATTTCCTGATGATTTTATCTGCATTAAAAGAAGTACTTCAACACAGAGCTATCAAAACTAAAAATAATATATACTTATAGCTCATAATATTTTCTAATTGTTTTACTGTAGTGTGTACAAGATTTATCTCTGGAGCGCCAAAGGTGGTACTTACAGTCTTCTAACTCAATTTGACCTCTTCTTAGTTACTGTACATAGTACATCATTTGGAGTGCTTAGCTTAGTATAATTAAGAACATAAGTAGTTTCTTAGTAAATGTAATATTCAGTTCAAATCACTTGGAAATTTGGGGAACTTTGGAGAAGTGCAAGGAGGAAAGTAAGGAAAAGGTGTATTTTTCTAATTTTAATAGGAAAATAAATTCTCACCTAAACATAACTAAACCACATCACAACCTGTTATGTAAAAAGTACTTTCTTAGTATGGGGGTAATTCACAGAATGTATAAGTACTTCCCCTTTTATGACTCTACAACCATGTATTTCCTGCATATAAGAATGCTTATAGCCCTTTAAACACTCAAGTATCTTGGTCCTTTCAACCTACTCAAAAATTAACTTCAGGTGAATAAAAACATTCAGAATAACAATTTGCTTTTAGTTGACATTTGAGAGATACAAGCTATGTTTGTATAAAGTGGAATGCTAGAATTAAACATCAGCAAGAAGAACTGATTTATATTATTAATCATATTTTAAAACATGTAAATGTGAATACAACATAAGCAAAATGTTATTTGAATATGTCTGTTAAAATGTCTGATTAATATACTACACTCCAGATAAGGGTCAGTTCTAGGTGTTAACACACATGTGCTGCGTGAGGATCTTTTTGCAGACCAGTCTATCTTAACGCAATTCATTTCCAAGCGATACTAAATTCTGCCAAACTCGTATTTCAGATGTGACATGATCAAGCCCACAATTCTATACAGTTACTCTAATTAAATTTAAGGAGGAAGATAGTTTCATAATAATGTTAACAAAGAGCCTTCAAATTTGTGAGGCTGTGCCAATAATAAAAACAATGGAAACAAGACCAACAAATCTTTAGTACATAAATTTAAGCAGAAAACAGGATAAAATTTTAAGAAAGTATAGATCTATTGCCCAGAGTTATGAGACTGTAATTAGATTGAATGATTTATACTGCTCATTTGCAACATTTTATAATTTTATAAGATTTGATTGGGACTGGAGACTACCAGGTGGAGAGATTAGGTACTTAAAAATACAGAAATTGACTTATATTTTCCATGTATGTAATAAGTTATATTTCTGAAGCTTTCAATAAACTTGAGGTTTTTACTGCTCACCTAAGACAACTGCCAAATTTTCTTTTGGCCTACAAAGAATACATACATGGTGTCACTGTCTTAAAGAGGGTAATTTTTTCCAATACTTTTGATATCTGGTCAAACAGAACAAAAATACGGTGATGACATAAATTTCTCAATTCAACTTTTGCAATGTATAGAAGCTAAATTATAAAAATATAAAATCTAAATATATCTGATATTACTAATACATTTTTAAATGTTTTAATTACAAAGAATCTGAATCCATGTCATTTTTGCTTTACTAAGAAACCAATGTCTAATAATGTCCAAATAAGGTCATAAATATACAGTGTCTTTAGAACAGAAATAATACATTTACTTGTTGCATGTAAGATGGTAATTACTCATTTCTTTGCTCAAGAGTTAGAACTAATCCATACATCATACTAGAGGTATATTCCACTCTAAGACTGTGTACGCTCTTCCTTTTTCTGTACACACCTTAAAACTGTACACTTATTTTTTACAAAAATGGATTTATAGTCTATTTTTTTTTCCAACACAATGCAGATAACATCAGGAAATTACATGTTTCAAACAGATTGCCTTCAAAAGCAACAAATTACTTTAATGACTTAAATTTCAAACATACACATTATTCTCAATAATGGTGTAACTGAAAGACTCATTTTACTATACAACCAAGCCATCCATTTCTGCATTATGAAGAGTTTAACTACTGACTTTTAATTATATAGTTAAATATATTTGTTAGAAAAAAATAAATATACAAAAAACCTGAAAAATTTGAAATTATTTTTCAACTGCAAAATCACAGCAATCCAGTTAAGATCTGGAAAATGGTTTACTTAATTTCACAGGAGGTTTTCTGTACAAATTTAGGTACAAATGATCTAAAAAGCCCAAATGCATCACTTTCCACTGTTCTTCAAGACAATTAAATGACGGCTAACATTTATCCCTACCAGAAATAAGTAAAGAAATAATTATGTAATGTATTTTGCCAAGGTTCAATTAAAGACTTTATTTTTCTACATCAGGGTCATGCTGATACAGATTTTCCCATCCTCACTTTTTAAAAATGTAGTATCTGAAAATTTTGGTTACATTTTTGTACCATACCAGTCCTCAGAAAATACTACATTCTTTAAACTTTTAAAAAAATGGACAATTTTTAAACAATAGAAATGGTATTTATGTTGGTTTTTAAGGTATAAAATAACTACTGTACCATAAACAAATAAATAACTGCTTTCCTTTTCCATAGCAGTACATATAGCAATACATTCTCCTAAGTCATATAGTTATCATTTACAATAGACAACTCAATTTTACTAATGATGCAAAAAATAATAGAATACAAGGCACAATCATTAAATGGAATTTTTCTTAAGGGTGTATATTGACATACCAGCGTGATAAGGATACCATAAAAAGTGCAGAAAAAACACAATGTGCAATGAGACCACTGTATAAAACATGATTGCATAAAAAGTGATTTGGCCTATTTTAACCTTTAATAATTGAAAATAACCAATCTTCCCCTTAAAATTAAACTATAAAGTATGACATTTTAAAATTATTTTTATTCTACCACTATCTAAAAAATCCTGAAAAAAGAATTTATACCTGGGTAATAGTATATAAGTATGTGTTTGTATATATATTTAATTATACCCATTTATCAATATATACACATACACACACAGACACATTTCTTTGTAAGTCATTTTAGCCTATTAGATATGTCTAAAGTTTAGAAACGACATTAATCCAGATCAACAAGTAAACATCAAATCCCATACCTTTTTCCTGTATTCTCCTTGAATCCTTTAACCACTTAAACATTTTCTCTAAAACATCTCTGTCAAAGGACCCACCAGTGCATTATTTTCTACTATTAAGTACCAAAAAAAGATACATCTCAGCATAACTCTTTTTAATAACGTGCTCTTTAGAATAATATATAGCCTTTCCAATATTGAAAAGTGTATGCTGTCCTGACAGTCAAAAACAGGCTTTCCACTGCACTGATTCTCAGTCTTTGGCACAATAAACAGAGATTGAGTGATTGATATAAGAATCAAGGTCTGAAAAATTAGACAGTCAAATGTTTTCCAATGTGGATATGTTTCCTTTCCATCAGTACATTTTCTCTTATGTTTGGCAGAAATGGAATACAGCAAAAGCCTCATCTAGATTCTTTGTAGATGAACAATCTATAGTTAAATTAAACTTTTTAGGGTTATCAAATGGTGGGAATTTTTATATTTATCTTTAGAGGAAACACACTTCTGAATTTACTGCTACTCTGGTAACATCTGTCTTCCTAGGGGCACGACCTTCTGTATCAATAGAAATGTACCTGGCTTGGTCAAAAATAATTCATTTTAACATGAAATGCTCTATCACTAGGAATATTATGCTCCTTAAGAGTATAGCAGAACTGTCTTTTCCAGAAATAAACTGGGAATTCATTATAGGTCCTCAATTTCTTTTGTTTCAAACAGTGAATGAAATGAATGTTGAAATGCATAACCTATCTAAAGGCAATAAATAGCAAACATTTAAAATATATATGTATATATTTATATATATATATATATTCATTTAAAGAAGTGAAGTGTCTTGTAAGTTTGTTTGTGTTTTTTTTTTTGTTTTTTTGTTTTTTTTTTTTGCAAATCAAAACATTCCCTAATCCACCATAGCAGCAAGGAAGCAGAAGCCTTAGTTCTACGTATTCCTTAACTGTACCTGCTTTATGATTTTGAAGTAAAATATTTTGGTACAAGTTACCAACCAATTAAATTAGCTTTTGCTTTTTCAGTCAACTTTCGGACTCGTCCTCTACTAGAAGTTCCAAAAGTCAAAGAGGTGTCTTCGAACAACAGCTGCCTTTGCTCCTCTTCAGAATCATCCTCATTATAGAAAGCTGTCCTTCGACCTTGGTTTCTAGTTCTCATGTGGGGTTCAGAGCCTTTAAGTTCCTCAAACTCTTCTTCCTCATCCATAGGATCATCTGTCTTTTTTCGGTTACTTCTCCTTAGCATTTTAACACTTGTAGGAACTATGAGATCTGAATCTAGTTTTTGTGTCTTCATCTTCCTTTTCGGTTTTCTGCCTCCACGACTTTTTTTCTGTAACAGATCCTCCTTTACAGTATTAGTTTCAGAAAGAAAACTGCATGTTGAAGAAGGAACTACTTCGTCTCTGATTGAATGTACATTATTTTGCTCTGAGTTTTCTGGCTTTGCATACTGTAGTTTTTTGGGCTTTCTACCCCTTTTCTTGTGTATAACTTCACCACTATTGGTGTTAACTTCTACCTTAGGCTTCCTTCCAGGTCCTCTCTTTACAAGTTTAGATGGCTGCCCTCCATGGCCATTTACTTGAATGCTTCCTGGTACAAGAGCATTGTTCCTGCAATCTGCTAAAAAGGAACAACAGTACACTTAACATAGGGAATTGCTTTTTTTATTTGACTCTCAAACTAGTCATAAGGACACTGCTATACTTACGTAAGCACGTAATTCTAATCTTTGTTTTTACTAAAATGAGAAAAGGAACTAACAGAAGGCTAATAGTTTAATGATATTATCTTCTACCTAAAACTCACGGAGGAAGAAAGACCCTTAATGAAATCATTAATGACCTCACATGAGGGAAATGACACTCAGCAAATAACCTGTTAACATTGTAAATTATGATATAGCTGAGATCAGCCAAGGTTTCTTAGCACTATTACCTTTACTACATGTTCTAATATATGAACACTGTTTCGATTACACAAAATGACCATATTCACTTGTATAGAGCTTAGCAACCACAAAGAACTTTACTGCTTACCTCATTAACAAGTTTTCAGTATTCCTACCTTTAAGCAGCTCAATTATGGAAAATGATGTTAGTATAAAATCCATGACCTTTTAACTTGGTAATCTGAATACATAGTAAGTATAACATCTCCTTCCACTTACCTCTAATAACTTTTTCTACTAGGGATGGAAGAAAAAGGGATATCAAGACTGGAATGTTTCTAGCTCTTATTTGATTCCTTTTTGGATACGATCATCATACCCTCTCTGGTATCAGAGAAGAGTTTACAATTTAAATATTTGCTTATGTTCCTCAGAGGTAAGAAGAATTTCCTCTCCTAATCCTACTACAAAAGAGGTTTTTGAGTACATCTATTAGAATAATTTATATCAATTATTCCCCATAAAAACTACCATGTCTTTGACATTCTTCCTCTATCCTAACTACAACACTAGAAATCAGTTACTCTTGGTTATGAACTATGTTCTCAGAATAGTTTAAAAAGGATGAAGTAAACAACTAAACAGTAGTTTCCTTCACAGGCTCTTTGAAACGGTCCTATATCCTTACGTAATTGAATGGCAAACAATTGATTTATTATCATAAGCAGTACTGAATCCATGTATCAATCAAACCATTATGTATGCCATTATAATTGCAACAAACTCCAAGATAAAGGCTATTGTGCTTTATAAAAAAATATAAAATTCTAGAGATCAAACTCTAAATCTATCTAGAGACCATGGTGAACTGCCTTTCTGTGTTAAAAATAAATGCTATTACCCCTTTAGATGAAGGAAAAAGATGACAAACATGTATTACTACTACCTTTGTTCTTCTAAAGTTCTTAAGTTTTTGTGTTTGGTTGTGGTGGGTGATCTACACTGCAATATTCTAAAGAAAATACATAAAGAGATGAACACTGCTTTTAAAGAGAATGCTTCCTCATAATGATATCTGTATAGCTTTGAATTATACTTCATATATATCAAGAAAAAAATCAAGAGGTCACAAAAGGCCAGAGCCAGAAGCAAAGGGAAAAGGCAAAGCCCTCATTTCCTGACCCCCATGATACAAATAATTTTCTTTAGTGGTTTTCCGGCATAAGGAGGGGAGTGGGAAGAGGGGAGAAATGTGTGTGAGTGTGAATAAAGTAATTAAGTATCTTCTAACACACAATTACACTTAACCTGTCTGAGGATTCTGTGTATCTTACTTGTTTTACATTAAGACTGCTGACAAGGTTGTAAATAACTAGTCCACATACTCACTATAGAAATTCTACAGTTTGGCTTCAAGGACTCCATGAATTTCTTGAAATGTCCAAATTTTGTGTGAATATGCCTATGGGCATTTTCTGGGGAAAGGACTACAGGTTTCATCAACTTTGCAAAGCAATGCATTAAGTAAAAAGGTTAAGAATGAATGTAACACTCTTTATATGGGCCTGTGTTCAGTATGGTAGTTATTAACCATGTGGCTACTGAGCAATTGAAACAGCTATGCAATTGAGGAACTGAATTTTTAATTTAAATGTGAATACTGAAGCACTGTACATTTTGAATATTGATTACAGGTTGAAATGACAGTATTTTTGATATGATGGAATAAATTATTAAAATTAGTAATTTTACCTGTTTGTTATTATTAGATGTAGTAGCTACTAGAAAACTTAAAATAATATACATGATTTATAGTGGTTTATATTATATTTCCACTGGACAGAATTGCCTCTTGATTCTAACAGTTAATCCAGGTGTCAATGTTTATGTAATAAGTCATCATTAATGACTTATTAGCTAATTATATTTCTATACTGCACTGGTAACTCATGTATTTGTGATACGCAAAACTTATAAATCAAATTGGTTACTGGACCCCCTATTGTTAATGCTAGAACCAATTCACTATGTACATCTGATTTCCGTAGGGTTCAAAGTGACAGAAGCAAGGCCAATATACTATACAAAAAACTTTGAATTTAGTTCAGAAAGGAAGAATAATAAAAATGTAAAACACTGATATACAAAGTCATTTGCTTCTTTATTCACTTACTGACCACTATATAGTAAGTATAAGTGACTGAAAAAGTAATTAAACCCAGAAGTTCAGATTCCACTGGATACAAATACATGTAAAAAAGAATACTCTAATAAGTGTTACCACAAAAAGCAATGAACAGGGTGTTCTGGGAACATAAAAGAAGTGCTTGATTCTGTCTAAAGAACCCAAGAAGAGGCTTCCTAGAGTGGATAATATTTCAAAGTGGAACTTGAAAGGTAATAGGAAACCATTAAATTGGGAAGGAAAAAAGACATTCCAAAGAAGGAAGAAAAGGACAATGATATTTCAGAGACTTCAAATGGTATAGGATAGCTGGGACATAAAAAGGAGAGGGAAAAGTAAAGAAAGCTGGAATGTTAGGCAGCAGCCAAGTAATGAAGAGTCTTATATAATAAGCAAAAACATTAAAATCTGACTCCATGGATGATTTGAACGCAGGGAAGGATTTCAACTGTGTGTGTGTATGGGCATGCATGCATTTGTGCTAAAGATAAATGATCAGAAAGATCACTTTTACGCAATGTGGAAGACGTACTGGGTAAGGAAGAGTTGAGAATCAAGACAGCAAGACCAGTTAGAAAACTAGAACAGTCCAGGTGAGAAATTATGTAGGCCTGAATTAAAAACACGGAAGTGAGAGGAACCGATTTTAGAGAAATTAAGGAGGCAGAAATAACAGAAACTAACGACTGTGAAGTAGATCTGGAAGAGAAGGCTAGATGACTCCCTGACTTTAAGCTTACATAGAGGGGTATGTCCCAATGCCATTATACATATAAAAGGACATTTCAGTAGAAATATTAAATTTTGAGAGGTTTCTGAGAAGAACATTGAAGAGGAAATTGTTTAGGCATACGTTGGAAGCTGTGATACAAAATGCTTCTTCTTGAACTGCTCACTGCCAATAAGCCATAATTGTTTTAACACATCATAGGGTGTACTATATCAGTTTCTTTCTCCATCGTTCAAACGTAAAGCCTTTAAAATGAAAATCTGCAGATGAGAGAACTTGGAAGCATAACTGTAAAGGGCTAAAAGTTTTATGACAGAACAAAGGTCGGGCTGTGGACAACCCTGATGAGTTAACATTTAGTGAAGGGCAGGGCAGTGTGCTGAATTTTGTGATGTAAGAACTTAATTTTTCTAAAAAGGAAAGGCGTCTACATTTGGTTAAGTAAATCTAATTTAATTTAAACTACCTGAAAATACTTTTTAAGGTTTTGTAATAATAAGGTCAGGAATTAGTTAACTTACATCAGTAAAAGCCTTTGATTCTAGAATTTGTTTTTATTTCCATAAAGCAAGTTTTTCTTGGCTCTTAAAATTTAATGACAATACAGTTTGCTTTGGGCACAAAGCTGCAAATCAAAAGATGTCTCATTGAATGTACCAACCAATACAGAATGTGACTTTTAAATGAGCAACCTAACAAAAAGTGGATATAAATGCTACCTCCAACAAAAAGCATCATTTTTAAGAAATACCTACTTTATCTTGGAAGATACAAATAATACCTTACCTTGCTCCATGACGGGTGATGACTTTGAAAGAGTGGATGTTTTTGAGAGTACAGATGATTTCACTTTACGTTTGACTGGCTTTTCCTTTTCTGTGTTTTCTTTTGCAGAATTATTCCTAGTGCCATGACTAATACTGGACTGACCAGGACTTGAAAGAGTATTCAAGGTTTTGGAATGTTTCACAGAATTTTCTAGAACTGAAACACATATACACACACACACACACACACACACACACACACACACACACACACACACACACAATTAAAAGCTACATAATTTAACCTATAAATAAGCAAGGAGGTTGGGATTACTTGTAATTTGAACTGCTTGAATTAGCGAAAAGATAAAACCTAGGAGTTGCTTAATGCTTTCTTAGGAAATCTACTTTCAAACAGGAAAAAGGAATACGCAAAGAAACTCTTTTAACAGTTTCAGACCTTTCTGATGATGTCCAGTAACTTCAAGATTATGAAGGCAAGCCATAGCAAATTGTTAGCAAGTCTGGGTACTAGGATTTTAATCCAGGCAGTTTAGATCAGAGTTACCATTTTTAAGTATTCTATGCTAACATTACTAAACCTCATTTTTTTTCTTATTAAAAGCAAAAACAAATAAGCAAAAAAGAGCAAAACCAACACTTTCTGCTGGAATTTACAAAAATCTCATATATTTCATTTGGCAAAATAAAAGCTAAATTTAAAAATCATATATACTTCAATTTAGAAACTGTAAATGATTTCTTACTTGTTTTCCCTGGCATTGCAGATGTATTAGCTTTTGAAATTAAAGCCTTTGCTGCAGAAGAAGTAGATGGCTGCTCAGTGGTAACTGGATCTACAACCACTCGATTGCTTCTGGTTCGAACTACAGAACTGGATTCTGTTTTACCATTTATCTGAGTGGCATTATGCCTCGGTGGTATTGATCGTGTAGGTGTAGAGAATGGAGAGGTAGAGATATCTGACTTTAGCTGGGGTTTTAAGGTCCTTTTTTTCCTTTCAGGGCTGTAAATAAAATAATATCATTAGTCATTCCTATAGCTCTATGCGGATAAATAAAATAGTTTTATAATACTGTTGGATTCAATATTTGTACTATTATGAAATATGTTAAAATATGAGATTTGTAGTGGATTTCATATGGTTGTGAGCCTTTGAAAGTGAATATTTAGTGAAGGATTGCCATAAATGCTACAGTTATATGACAGAAAGCATGATGCCATCACTATCCTAAAAATGCTGTTTTACTGTATAGATTTAGCAGTTTGAATTTAAGCACTTACACTAGTATAGCTTTAGTTAAAAGATTAAAAATCCTCCACATCATAGGAACTTGCATGTCAAATATATCATTCTGCAATATAGGGAATAGTAAAGGAAGTATTAAAAAACACCGAGTTCTATCATTTAGATGACAAAGTTATAGATCAGTTGATATTTTTTAAAATAAATCATATACCTTGATGCAGCACTACTGGAAACAGAGCTGCTTCTGTTTCTTTTCTTCCTCCTTTTGGTTATTGTATTTCTTTTATGAAAACGAAGAGCAGATTTATAATCTGATAAAACTGAACTAATGTGTTCTTCAAAGAAAGCAGACAGGCGCAAACTCATGCTGTAAATCTACGATAAGAAAAAAAGTGTTTAAATGTGGAAAGGAAAATGCCTGCTCAGTAAATATTAACATGTAACTTAAGTATTTTCTTTAGCAAAAAGTTTCAACAATTTAAACATTATATTTTTCCAATCTCTTTAGATGAAGAGTAAAACTAAAGCCTTTTTACATTTAAACTGTATTTTTTGTAAGTTTTATTTTTAATTTTTGAGAGAGAGACAGAGAGAGAATATGAATGAGAATCTTAACTAGGCTCCACATTCAGTGCAGAGCTCATCATAGCACTCAATCCCATGACCCTGGAATCATGATCTGAGCTGAAATCAAGAGTCATACACTCAACTGACCGAACCACCCAGGTGACCTGACAATTAAACTATTTTTACATTTGGATTAGAAATCTTCCAAGGTTTCGGAGTCTAAGTTTTTATTTTTTTTGGGGGGGGGGGGTGGTTCGAGGAGCAGAGGGAGAGACAGAATCTTAAGCAGGCTCCATGCTCAGCACTGAGCCATTATAATGCAGGGCTCGATCCTACAAACCTGGGATCATGACCTGAACCGAAATTGAGTTGAATGCTCAACCAAATGAGCCACCCAAGGGCCCCGGATTTCAGATTCTTAAATAAGAGCCCTAGTATCAATTCACACGGCCTATACAGACAAAATTCCTTTGAACTCTATCACACTGAAACTATCCCTGAGGTTTTGAACCTGTTACCTAGGACTATCATCTATATTTTTTCTTTTTTTTATTTCCTTTTTTTTTTTTTTTAACATTTATTTATTTGAGAGATAGAACACAAGTGGGTGAGGGGCAGAGAGAGGAAGATACAGAATCTAAAGCAGGCTCCAGGCTCTGAGCTGTCAGCACAAAGCCTGATGCAGGACTCAAACTCATGAATTGTGAGATCATGACCTGAGCCAAAGTCAGACGCTTAACCGACTGAGCCACCCAAGTGCCCCTATTCTTTTTCATTTCATTTCCATATATCACCCTTTTGTGATATCTTGTCTGCCCAAAGAGAGGTAAATGATATTTATAATTTTACTCATTTTTATAAATCATTCACAAAAATACCTTTCCATTAATGCAGAAAATAGCTGGAAAAGTTAAGCCCACATAGCCCTAATATATACCAGGACAATAAGTATGTGGTATGTGTTAAGGAAAAGTAACCATCCCTAAACATTAATGTCATCACTTTTATTTTATAGAAGGAAAGAAATAAAAATATGTGAATTCTTTTTTCCACTAGGATACCATTAAGAACATAATATAAATTTTGCTCTATATTTAATTAACAGAACATTTAGTTACTTAACATACTTTGCTACTAATTTCATTTAAATTAAACATAGACAAAACCAGTTTTAAGTATATACCCTTGATCTTTTGCTTGGTGTATAGGCTTTGGAATTGCTAAAAATAAGTCTGACATCTTTACATAATTCCATGGGTGACTCATAATTCCCAGCCTCTAAAGTTTCTCTAACAGTAGCAAAATCCATTGGAGTGTCAATGATGTCTCTGTAGTCCTAAAAGAAGAAAAACAGGTGGTATTACTATTAACATCACTACCACAAGGCATTAATACTCAGCACAGGGATTGACATACAATTCCTGTGATGAGTATAAGTCCTAGAACTATTAATAATCCCTTACTTTCCTCATCAAGGCTTTTTTTTTTTTCCTAATAATTTTTGTTTTTTTTCATGCCCTCTCCCTTTTATTGCAGTCAACATAGGTTCTTCTCATTCAAGAAGCTATTGAGTTCTGCTGCTTTTTCTTGAGGAAGAGGTAAAGGGTAGAGTTTTTCTGGAAAAAGAGGATTAAGAGTACTGAAAAAAACCTTAGATCCACAACTAACAAATTTCACATAATAAAACTCAAAATTTTATACTAACTATGAACTCTAAAGGCTCTGACATATATCTTTAAAATAAGCAGATAAAAAATAAATAAAAAATAAAATAAGGAGATAAAACAATAGAAATACACTAATACCCCATTTGTGTGGAGGCCTGAATTCTAGTAACCTCAACTTTAGTACTACAATTGGGAACTCTGCATTAATCAGGAATTGTGAATGTAAATAGTTGTCACAAAGCCTATACACTTCATCAGACAAAGGAGAAGTGGAATCACCTAAAGTATCTACCTAGTCAACTGTGTATAAAATAAGGCAATAGATTAGAAGCAATAAAAACAGACAAGTGAAAGCAGAAAGAAACAGAAGGGTATAAAATTATTTGAATATGGTATCTTTTAAAAGAGAAAGAGTAATACATCTTTTCCATAGACCAGAAGTATGTAACTACATTTTTCAACACGTAGCTTGAGTTTGCACCATCAAGTTTAAATTATGATCAAGTATATTTGACCATAAGGGAAATAGCATTATTACCTTTTACAAATAGGGACAGTTTTATTTCTTCTGTAACAATCTATATGCCTTTTATTTCTTTTTCTTACCTTATTGCATTGGCTAGAATTTGCAGTACTATGTTGAAAAGCAGTGGTGAGAACAGGCATCTTTGCCTCATTCCCAATCTTAGGGGGAAAGCATTTGGTTTTTCATGATTAAGTACAATTTAGCTGTAGGTTTTTAAACAGATACTCTTTATCACGTTTTCAAAGTTCCCCTTTATTCCTAGTTTACTTAAGAGTTTTTTTTTTTTTTAATTATCATTAATGGTGGTTATCTTACATTATGTATTTGTCTATATTGCATCCATTCATCACAGGACTAATTATGTAAATTATATTTTCATATCTTTTGTATTCCTGATGCTCTGGTGATTTGGGATTCTTACAGACCTGAAGAGAGCCTGCCCCTCCCAGGACTAACCAATTCTTAGAGACAGACCAACCCTACGCCCCAAAGCCCACTGGAATTATTCAAATTAGCCAGTCCTAAAGTGTTTACCCTGCTCTGCCTTGCCTTTCTCATAAAAACCCCAATAAAGGCTCTGGCTTAAGCATTTCCTTGCTCCTGCCTTTTGCCATCTGACCAAAACCTGATGTTTCCCTTGTGGCTCTAAGTGGCATTCAGTGACACCATCTCTGGGACTTGTGAATGTAATAAATTTCCTTTTAAGCCCCATTCTCATTTCCTCTTATGGGAATGCTGACTGTACCATCTAATCCCATATCCGATATGTGCATTCTTAGAACAAATGTGTATTCTATCAAATACTTTTTCATATGCATTGATACAATCATCTGACTTCTCTCCTTTAATATGATGAATTACACAGATTCATTTTTGAATACTGAATGAGACTTACATACCTGGATAAAAGCCCACTTGGTCATGGTATAATATCATTTTTATATATCACTGAATTCTATTTGCTGATATTTTATTGAGAATTTTTGCATTTTCTTTTGTATTTTTTTGGTCCAGTTTTAAAATCAGGATAATACTGGTTTCACAGAATGGGTGCAGAAGTAGTAGTCGTCCCTTCTCTGTCTTGTGAAAGAGACTATCTAGAATTTGTGCTAATTCTTTAAATTTTGGTAGAATTGTTCAGTGAAGATATTTGGACTTAAGACATTTCTTTTTTGAAAGCTTTTAATTACAAATTAAATTTCCTTACTAGTTACAGGGCTATTCAAATGATCTATTTTCTATTGGGGGAGTTGTGGTAGTCTGTACTTTGAGAAATGGTCCATTTCACCTATGATGTCAAATCTGTATGTGTAGAGTTGCCTGTAGTATTTATTATCTTTTTGGTATCTGTATGGTCTGTAGTGATATCTTCTATTGCATTCCTGATATTAGCAACTTGTGTCTTTTTTCTTAATAGAGATTTGTCACTTTTATAGATCTTTTCAAAGAACCAGATTTTTGGTTTTATGGATTTTCTCTGTTGTTTTTGTTTTCAGTTGCGTTGATTTTTTTTTTTATTATTTCCTTTCTTCTGCTCACTGTGGGTTAATTTTAATTTTTCTTGGTTCTTGAGGAGAGAGCTTGGATGACTGATTCGAGACTTTTTCTATTCTCATGTACTATTTAGTGCTCTATGTTTTCCTCAATTTTTTAGCTTCATCCCACAAATTTTTATATTGTATTCATTTTCATTTATTAGTTCAATGTGTTTTATTTCCCATAAGACTTCTTTGATCTCACAGATTATTCAGAAATATATATTTATTTAGTCATCAATCAAGTGATTAGAGATTTTCCTGTTACTTTATTTCTGGTTTGATGCCACTGTGGCTGGAAAACACTCTGTAATGATTTCAATTACATCTGTCCTGCTGTTTTTTTTTTTACTTTTCTTCCCAATCTTCCTTGGTCACTTGAACAGATTCAATTTGATTTATGTACTGTGTTTATGACTGTAACTCTATGAACACACCTTTTAAGTGGTTGATCAGGTATTTATAATATATACAAAATTATCAAAATATACTGGTGTTATACACAAAATAAAGCAACCCATGGAATGGGAGAAGCTATTTGCAAATGACATATCCAATAAAGGATAGGATCCAAAATATATAAAGAACTTATAAAACACTCAAAAAAAATCTGATTTTAAAAATGGAAAAAAGCAGACACTTTTCCAAAGAAGACATACAGATAGCCAACAGATACGTGAAAAGATGCTCATCAATGAGATATCGCCTCACACATGTCAGAATGGCTAAAATCAAAAATACAGGAAACAGGTGTTGGCGAGAAACAGGAACACTCCTGTGGAGAAACAGGAACACTCATGTACTGTTGGTGGGAATGCAAACTGGTGCAGCTACTTTGGGAAACAGTATGGAGGTTCCTCAAAAAGTTAAAAATAGAACGACTCTACAATCCAGCAATCACACTACTGGGTATTTACCCAAAGAACACGAATTCAAAAGGATATATGCACTCCTATGTGTATAGCAGTATTATTGATGAATGGATAAAGAAGGTCTATATATACAGTGGAATATCATTCATCCATAAAGAAGAACAAAATCTTGCCATTTGAAATGACATAAATGGAGCTAGAGAGTATAATGTTAATTAAGCAAAATGAGGCAGAGAAAGACAAATACCATTTGATTTCACTCATGTGGAATTTCACAAATAAAACAAGCAACAGGAAAAAAGTGAGGAGGGGGAGTGTCAAAGTAAGAAACAGACTCTTAATTATAGAGAACTAATGGTTACCATAAGGGATTAAGGAATGCACTTGTGGTTATTTAATAAGCACAGGGTGATGTATGGAAGTGCTGAATATTGTACAGCTGAAACTAACTGAATGTTAACTAACTGGATTTAAAATAAAAACAAAGTTTAAAAAAGTGAAATAGAAAAGAATAATATATCCAAAGTGAAAACTGTAATTTCAGATTTTCCTGTGTAATAAAATCATATAAATGACCTTTAAAAAAAAAAAGACATTCCAAAGACTGAAACCCTGATTCTTAAGATAGTTTGTAGCGGGAGGGGCTCGGGGGGCAGCAAAGTTAAAGGAGTTAGAAAACTGCTTTATGCAATGGTAACATCATTTGAACAGTGTCTGTGCAACCTCTCTCTCTCCTTAAGGGTAACTAACCATTTCAACAGAAACTATAATTACATGGATACTGAATATTATGACATACTGGCTCTATAAGCTTTGCAGATTTTAGGAAAATGTTAAATATATTTATATAGAACACTTCTTCTTGGTTCATATCTTGGGTTTCTGTTACTCCATACACTATATGATAACCATTTAATGTATCTGTTGAATAAATGGGGTAGAATATTTATTTAGCATGCTGATTTCCATCAAAAAATTTTAATTTTTAAAATCCTGCTTTAAGTATTTGACTAAACTCAAAATGTGAACAAACATTTTCATACAAAAGCTGAAATATGAAGAATATGACTGCCATAAATATTCTAGTACAGTTAGGCTGGCAGTTAACTTATAGTTAATTCTGAAGTATAAAAAGCAGATAAATCCGGTTTTCTCTTCTTAGTGATAATAATAAAAAACAGCAAATAATCCTAAGTCTTTACACTTTCCTCCATCAAGGAGTACTGTAAGAGACAAAGTGATCAAATTAAAATTTTTTCTTGCTTCTTCTATTTAATACTTTTGGCTGCTAGAAGGAGAACCTCTAAATACTGTTCTCATTATTTTGAATACCTCAGTACCTCAGAGAGACTACATTCTTATATACTAGTTATTCTGTAAGAACACTGCCTAAGCTCTGGTGCACCTGATATAGGAAATAGGGGCTCCTGTCCTCACTTTGTCAACAAACAGCTGTGTATCTTGGAGAGCTGCTTAACATGAGCCTCAGTTCAACAATGAGTCAGCTATACCTGTATCCATATAAATATATGTATTGTTATCATACATATATTTTTTACACACACACACTCTCTCTGCAGGTGTTTGTATTCTGGACTTTTCCCCATTAAGGAAGAGAAAGATACAAGCTTTAACGTTTAGATTCCAGATGCACAAGTGTAACACTATATGCAGTCATGAGAATAGTTCTCTTCTATATTTTTTGTATGGCTGTTTTAACATTTTTCTTTTGTACTTAGAGTTTTGATTTTTCACTATTATTCCAGGTAAAAAAATTTTTTTTTCATATCTATCCTGCTCAGGAGTCATGCTTTGTCAAATGTTTATGAAACCTAGAAAACCTTCAGCCATTAACTCCTCAAAGACTGCCCCTCTCCCATTCTGAAACTCCTGTAAGTTATGTTTTGAATTTTTTCATCTTATCTACTGTATCTCCTTTCTTTCAGAGTTTTAATTTCAATTATTTCATATTTCATTCTCAGAAATTCCATTTTGTTTACAATTTTTTAAAATTTATTTATTTTGAGGGAGAGAGAACATGCAAGTGGGGGAGGGGCAGAGAGAGAATCCCAAGCATGCTCCATGCTGTCAACGCAGGGCTTGAGTTCACAAACTGAAATAACCTGAGCTGAAATCAAGAGTCAGATGCTCAACCGCCTGAGCCGCCCAGGTCCCCTTATTTAGTTTAAATTTTTAAAAATATCTGCCTTTTCCCCCTCAAATAACGTCTTTTTTTCCTTATGCTTCTTATCCCTCCATTTATCTATTAAACCAAATAACAACCAAGTTTCATTGGCAGCATTTTTTCCTTTCTTGGTGATGCATAAATTAAGTCATTGGTGTTTTATATCTGATGAAGTATAGTATTTCAGAAATAATCTATTATGTCAAGTTTTGGGGAAGAGGGTACTAATATTTCCACTTGTTGTTTCTGTAATATTTATGATGGATCACTCCCTCATATAGCTTGCAATTTCTTTTTATCATTAATTCACCTTTGTTTAGGGTTTGGTTTTTTTCTCCCTCTGATGAATTTCTACACACATGGATACTGTAAATTTAGGCTCTAAATCTATGCGTAGAGCCAGCTATGAGAGATTTCTCTCTTGACAACAGAACAACAGAGATATTTTTCCTTGTGGAGGGAATTATACTATTGTTTTCATCGAGGGTGAAGTCTTTCAACAGTCCTGGGAAGGGGGGGGGGGGGGGGGGTCTCAGTTCTAATTTCCTTCCTCAGTGTGGATTGCATGGCTTTTTCTGTCTCTACGTCATGTTATTCTTGTGCCTCTAGAATCAAAACATTAAAGCTTACATCTATCTCTTCTTTTCTGGGGAAAAGTCTAGAATACAAACACCTGCAAGCATTAGATAAACTATAATGTTTTCTAAAATACATAGCTGGGCTTGTAAGAAACAAAAGGAAATCCACAGGTTCCAAAAGCAAAGAGAATTGAAAACCAGAGTACTGTAGCATTAGCTTACTTCTTCTATGACTTTTTTGGAATATAGGGTTCAAATTAGCCCAGTTTATTACATTGCTGGAATTAAAAGTTTATCTTGTACATTCAAGATTCCAGGTTTCTCGATCTTTAAATGACAAAAAAAAAAAAAAGGCATTTTATGATATTTATCTACTGATGAAATTTCTCTATTTTCATTCATCATTTTGAATTAGAACACACACATAAAAAACAATTAATGAAGTCAGATGATATCACATTTGGGTCATGATCTCTTATAAAATATTTCATTTTTATTTTCATTTGAAACCATAAATGAATGTTACCTGAACTGTACAACCTTTAATAATTGAATAAAGGAATAAAAAAAAAATCACTTTAAACTATATTTAGATTGCTAAGACTGCATGTAAAAATAAATATTCGGATCAGTTTTACTCAACCTCCCTACCTTGAATTCCATAAACATAATTATGCCACCTTGCATTTGTATATAGTGCTACAAGTGAAAAATTATTTTAATGTGTTCTCATTTCATCCCTAACCCTGTAGGGAAGGTTAGGTATTATTACTCTTGTTTCCTGTAACTGCCATAATAAATTCTTGGAATTAGTCTGAGAAAGAAAATAGTAAAAAATAATATTCAGATAAACAAACTAAATGACTTGCTCCAAGTTGCACAGCTGGTAAGTGGGAGTGCTGGGGCCATAATCTAATACTTCAGAGTCTTAATTTGGGGTTCTTTCTGTTTTAAATACCACACTACTCAACTCAGATGCTCCATTTAGCCAAATAGATGAGAACACGTATTTAATAATGAAGAAATAAACTATAACCATAAGAAATAGCTTAAATAGCGAATTGTCATGTGTGAGATATATGGCAAGCTGACAGGTAAGGTAATATTTTCAAAAATACTTACTGGATATTCAAGGAGATCTACTGGCTGGCGGAAAGGCTCAGAATCTTCACATTGAAATATGAGATTTAATAATTCTTGACATTGTTTCTTCCATGCTTGAATATCATAAGATTGAGCTCTGTTACGTAATCTCCTTCTAGGCTGATGGTCCTGAAATGAAAATTTTCAATGTATTAATAAAATAAAACGTATAAAAGCTTCAAATATATTAAAATAAAAAATTAATAAAGTAACATTTATACAGTACAATTTGTATTTTTAATGCAATCTCAAATAATTAGGTCATATACAGTAACTCAAATAGAAAATATTATTCACGTAGTTCTGAAAACCATGTATTTTGTAATGGAAACTGATTTAGAAGTAACACTTAATCTGTCTTTAAAAATACTAAGAGTTAAAAAACTGCCTTTAATACATTTTAATTCATATAAAGTATTTCTGTTAAAACAAAAAATCTTACCTTTCTTTTTCGGGTAGAAGTTCCTGGCACATCAGCATCTTTCTCTTCTTCCTTTGAAATAAGAGTTTATCAGATTCACTAAACATTCTAGACTTCATTACATGTTTTAGAGTTTAGAGAATCTACCATAGTAATTTATATACCAATTATCACTTTTACACTTTGGAAAACCCATAATGTATATGCTGGAACACTTTATGGGCTCATTAGAGAGTCCCCCACAATATTTTTAATAACTACAGCAAAAAAATGCTGAACTACTTTTTGGAAACTACAGCATTAACCAAAAATAATTTTCATTACAGCATTTACCTGAAAACTACTATGTGTACATTTCTTTTTATATATATATAGAAAAAGACCAATATTAATATCATAATGAAATGTTAAATACCTCAGAATCGGACAAAACTTTCTTCTTCATTGAATTGTACAGTGGAATTAAGTTGTAACAAGTCTGATCCCTAAACAGCAAGGAAATGTTAGTACGTAAGATTAGAGTCCTGAGATTTTATTTTTTTTCCTTTAAATCTGTTAACAAAACCAGATTTTAAAATAAAGTTTGAAGCGGAAGGCTTTTTTCATTGGTTAACTCCAAAACCCTATACCCACACACCTGCCCGTGCCCCTCCACCCTATGTGGAGCTTCCATTCTGGCCTATTTCAATACACCAAACCGAATTTTTACCTCCCAGTATTTGCTCAGGTTGCTGCTGTGTGTGGGATGCCCTCTTTCATTCCTCAATATACAAAGGAAAGCTAAGATACTTCCTGTCTTCTAATTCCTTCTTCCTTTCATTCTTAAATATTTATAGTCATTCCCTAAAATTTTGTCCTTTAGTCATCTTTTCTTGACACTACAGCTTTTGCCCTGATAACCTTACTTGTGTAAATGAATTCCGAATTCTATAATTTGGTCTGACTCTTCTCTTGAGATTCCTATCATCATCTAGAATTCCACATGTCTAAACCTAATTTTCACTCCCCACTCTTCCTCCTATTTTTAACAGCATTACCATTCTCACAGTAATGTGTGATTTTTCACTATTCCTTCCCTTGCCTCCTTATAAACCCAATCATTGGCCAAGTTCTGTGATTCTACCTTCAAAATCTCTTGGTCTCTGCTTCTTTCTCATTTCCATAAATTAAACTCTCATCACCTCTTAGTTGGTCAGCTGGAGCAATCAATCTGCTATTTAGGCTTTCTGTCTCTTCCCTATCAATTAATATTAGAAATGCATTCAAGGCCCTACATGATCTGGCTCCAACTCATGCTTATAGCATTGTATCCTTATTACTTATGCTCGCGTACTCTCTAATTCACCTGGTATAAATTGCTTAATTCCGTTAATAACTCCTTATCCTTTCCTACCCCTTATGCCACACTCCTTGTCCCTAGAATGGCTTTCATCTAACTTTTGAATCTATTGATATCTATCTTGTCCGTAACATCCTAACCCATGTTTCCCGTACCTAAAACCCCACTTTCATAAGCTAGAAGTAATCCCCATCTAAATTTTCATACAGATTTTCTTGTTATTTTCCTTATAGTTACTTAAAATTTATCTACGAAATTGTATTAAGATGATAAATACACATTTCTATCTCATTTATCTCTTACATCACCTCATTATATATACCCTATTGCTTGAAATTTGGCCAATAACTCAAAGTTATGAGTTATCTCAAACTTTGAGAAATAACTCAAAGTATAATAAAAATTTCAAGATATACCTAATATTTAAAAGTTACTGTTAGCTAAAAATGTATAAACAAATTATATACTTCTAAAAAAATGCAGGGGTTTATTTTTAGATACATAAAATATAGATGCTTTAAACATTAATCTATTCTTACAAGGCATTTCAAAGTAACAGTTTGAAAAATATTTTATAGACTATTCCAAATATAAAAATAATTGTTTCATGTAAATTATTTCACTAAAGTGTGAAATTCCTGTATCACACAATTCTATTGATTCCTCTTTGGAAAAGAGAAATGTACATACACACACATATAGCAAAATTACAGACTATAAACTTCACTGGCAAAATATTATAAGCCCTTATAACTAAGTTATGTAAACAATCTTCCAGGGATAATTAATCCTTAATTAGTCTTAATTAGTTTCCCCATTAAAACTGGGGGAAAGAAAAAAAAAAAAAAAAA